ATGGTGGGGTGTGGGGGGGGGTTTGCAGAACATGGCTGCATTTGTGCATACCACAGCAATTACACAGCATCCAGCCTCAACAAACAGGCGGTACACATCATCAACATACCACAGACACACAGTCAGGAGGAGAATTAACACCATAGAGATCACTGAAGTCACTTTCTGCTGCTGCATGTCTGCTCCAGTACTTGTTTTGTGTTGATTTTTTTAAGATGAAAAGGCAACATCTGACCCAATATTATTTTCTTGGGAGCATTGCAGAAGACACACAGCATCTTTGGATCATGCAGTTGGAATTTGATGTAACTGTTCATGTTTTTATGTCTGCTCAAGATTAAAATAAATAAATTGTTTTTAAGCTTTAAGGAAAACTTTTTAAATAAATGAAAAGAAAGCGTTGATGTCCAAAACATCTAACTTTTAGTCCCTGGTAATACCGAATATCATTAAATCCAACAACTCCCACAACAACTGTGTAGCATGTTGTGCTAGATTGTCGTATCTTATAAACTCTATTCCCCAGTTTGTGCTCTATGCCCCAGACTTTCTGTCATCATGGGGAGTCTCCCTGCCTGAGCAGACATGGCCCCTATGACATCACTGTGACTTTATCAAGATTAGTTTCTCAGATTTGTATCAGCTGAGAGACTAGGCACATAGACACTCTACACCTAAAAGCAGGCGTATGCAGTATGCTTGTCTTCACTGGTCAATACACCCATAAAAGCCTTCAGTTTGTTGTTATCAATCAATCAATCAATCAATCAATCAATAGGATACGGCTGTAATAGGCCTAAGGCCTTTTAGTGGCTCATAAATAAATAAGTAGATCACTGATTCTTTATTTACTATGGATGCTGGCAACAGTCACATAGTCCAAAGTGAAGGTGATGTTTGACCAGTAATGGTCGAGGCGGGATTTGAGACAGTTAACCGTCTTGGATGTGACAACGCTTTCTGGCAGATCATTCCACAAGTCAACCACACGCAGGCTGAAGAAGTTGCGGCGGATAGCCAGTCTTGATTACTGTTTCTTCAACTTGAGGCAGTTTCCACGAGTCCTGGTGTTATAATCCCGTTGTAGTGGGTATGATGTTTTGTAGATGTTGTGGAGATACAAAAGAACAAATCTATCCATCCGAAATGTACAATTAATCCTAGAAGTTCTGCTGTCTGTCTGCAATTTACTCGGCGCGAGTTTGGGGACTTTTCACTGTGAACGTGACGTATCAGTAATGCATGACGCAGCAGACCCAACGTTTCGTTGCTCTGATTGGCTGTAGGTCTATTCAATTTGCATTNGAACATCGGAATGAGAGGAAAAAAGATAGAGAAGACAGACTGTGTGTGTGTGTGTGTGTGTGTGTGTGTGTGTGTGTGTGTGTGTGTGTGTGTGTGTGTGTGCTGCATGTCTCGGCCACACACACACACACACACACACACACACACACACACACACACACACACACACACACACAGTCTGTCTTCTCTATCTTTTTTCCTCTCATTCCGATGTTCCTGACTGCTCTCATGTCTTAACTCTAGTAGCTACAGGCGATTCCAGACGTACTGTAAGTTATTGCATAGGTTGCCATTAATTTGACTTCCTCTCCCCCTCCCCTTCTCCACGATCCCATCAGCGTGAACTCCAGGACCTGCACACTCATGTTTCAACACCTTGCTTCTGAATTCTCAATCAAACGGATGCTTGTTAGCAAAAGTACCTTTATGAAATTAAATGAATAAGAAGTAATGTTTTTCAGGTGGATTCTGGCTTCAGAGTGAACAAGTTCATGAGTCTACTGAAGGAAGAAGGAGCGTAAGTATTCTTCTCCTGTTTCCATGTGGACTACTTTGAGTCCGATTGTCGGTGACACTGAACACTCACACCGCGCACACATCTGTCACTTTTACTACTCAAATGTAGCAGACATGGGAAACATGGAAGCACAAAATATTTACATTTTGATCTAGTAGCAAGTGTGATTAATTATAGACATTTTGTCGCTTTTCCCTGCAGACTGGATTCTGATATGTTAATGGCAATCTAGACTCAGCGGAGCCACATAGTGAGAAAGAGGCATCCTTCAACGGTAAGACTGCAGGGCCGGCATCAGGCGACACGCTCATTTCCTGTCCAGTGTGAAGAGAGCTAGCGTAAAAATCTGTCAACTGGGGGTTCTGTTTAGTAGTGTATTCCCTTAACGTTTGATTTCTTGCGTCAAATCAACTGTTTACAAGTTGTGTTAAGCAGAAATCAAAGAGTAATGAAGGCTGTAAGCCTCATTACAATGTGTTAGCTCTTGTTGTCGCTGTACTGTGTATATACATCTCACTTTTATGGGTAATTGTGCGAATTGTGTTACTTAGAAAAATGTTTTTTTTATGTATAGATATGTCTTTTTGTGATGAAGATTCCATTATAAGATTTAGTTTTATTGCATTGTATACATAAAAGTAGTCACACATTCAAATCAATGAAATGCCTTAATAGATCAACATTTGTGTAGATACACTTATTTGCTTTCTTGCTCAGTGTTGGATGAGAAGGTCAATGCCATGTTTATGGTAAATGCAAAGTTAGAGCTAACATGTTAGCTTAGTTTAGCACCTGAACAGCTTAGCATACAAAAGTTAAAGAATAAAAACAAGCAGGTGTGTATATTGTGGGGAGCTACTGGCGCATTCTAACTGCTACGGCTCTATTCGAATGGACTTGGCTCGTTTGAGTTGTTTTGCTTGCGATAGCACCTTGTACCTGGTCCATGTTTCAGTATCGCCTCAGCCTGGTTTTCAAGCCAATAAAACACTGATGCAAAAACACTGCATACCACTGATTGGTAGGCGACATCCTACAAAAATCTATCCTTTTTTAAATCAAACTACCATCAATGATTTTTGTAATTTTTATATTTCACGTAACAAAGATTACAAATATATGGCAGCTGGCAAAAAATATGCCTTACATTTGTGGAAGTGCAGACAATCCAGTGTTTACCAATGAAAGGATTGAGCAAGTCTCCTGTTTACGCCCATTGGCATTGTTACAGCGAACAGCTGATCGCCCCGCCTACACTTTGTCATATTATCCGCAGTGGAAAACTAAATTCTGTGAGTCATACCCAGTTTAATCGAGTCGTACCCTGCGGTTAAAATACTCCATCAGTCGTTTCTACACTTCTATTTTTGTATGGATTAAACACATTTAATTATCAAACAGTATTCATGCTAAGCTAAGCTAAGCTAACCAGCTGCAAACTATTGGCACCAAAGTAAATGTTTCTCAAATTATTGTTTGACTGTTTTATTTTCCTGATGTCTCTGGGTAGCCATAGACTGAAGTAAAGATAGGTTAACTCTTAAAACAATGAGTATTAGTGCATTCTGCAGCACTGTCATGGGGGATTTTTCACAAAATAGGATTAGAACTTTTTTTTAGATAACTTTAAAAATGTTCCTATTGCTGCATGTTGAAAATGGCAGAAGAGATGTTCTCTTTCTTAAATTATCTGGCTTACTAGCTAATCTTGCCTTGTTAGATTCAGCCTGAGGATAGGCTGCCACGGTGAGGATGAAGAACAAAAACTTGAACACCTTTTCAACTTGCAAGCCTACACTTTGCTTCTCACTTTGCCTCAGAGACTTATGGTATAGCTAGCGCGCGGCGTCGTGTCTAAAAATAGGTGGCCCAGACAGGTGCTCTCCTGTGGCAGCATGCCTGTCTCTACTCACTTTTATTTGTCTCTGATCACACAGTTGCTGAGGAACAGCGCCTGAGAGAGGCTGGCAGGAGGAAGCAGGCAGGAGATAGTTTCCATCTCTCTCTGCATCCTTCCCTCCTATCCCTGAAGCTCTTCTCTCCTCTGCACTGCAGCAGCAGCATCCTCCTCTTCTTCAGCGCTATGTGAGCATGTGAAATAAGAGAAATGAGCTGTGTTTGTTGTGTCTGTGTATATTGCATTTGCAGACAAACTAATGCTGTAATCTCCATGTCATGCCTCACACTCCATCAGGATTTGATAAGTAAAAGAGTCCAGGCAGAACATATGTCTCTATGGCAAGTGCATGCACAAACACTACTCATAACAGTTTGTTGATATTGGCCTTATGTGTATGCACAGATTGATCATTCCAGGATATCCATGACTTAAAGATCTCACTTTATTCTTATCATGTTATGTATCTGCTTGTGTGTGACCTTTATATTTTATGAATAAATTAATTATATTACTAACGAGATACTGTAGTATTTGGCATTAATAAGCGAATGAATGTGCACCAAATGTTAAAAATTAAGTTACTTTACAACAGGGGGCTAAAAAGAAGAGCTGCAATCCGTAATCTATTGACAGAAAAATACGTTTTTAAAGGAGCCCTATTATGCTTTTGGGGGTTTCCCCTGTTCTGTAGTGTGTTATAAAGGCTTGTGTGCATGTAAATGGTCTGCAAAGGATAACATTCCAAATTTCACACCAGACGGAGTTTCTCTCCTACACACTCCCCCCCCCCCCCCCNCCCCCCCTTTCTGAAACGTCTCCATTGGACTCCTGTGTTTACTTCTGTGACATTGTGACATCACAACGTAACACTCACGCTTCTATTGGCTAACGCTCCAACACACTGAACATGGTACTCTAAGGGGTGGGGCATCTTTAAGTGGTTGACCAATCACTACAGAGCTGGCCAGCTAACCAATCAGAGCAGACTGGGCTCTGGTTTCAGACAGAGGGTGAAAAGAGGTGCTGTAGCAAAGGCAGTATGAGAAAAATAAAGAGATTTTTGAACATTAAAGCATGGAGACATGTCCCAGTAGAGACACTACATTCAAATATGAACCTGAAAATGAGCATAAAATCATGTTTTCAGACCCTTTTCAAAACGGAAAGGTCTTGTTTTACTCTGTTTTATATAATTGTAAAGATAATATCTTTAATATTATATAAAAGGTTTGACAAAACAAGAAATGTAAACACATTATCTTGGTCTACGAGAAACTTGGATGGTTATTTTCACTATGTTCTGGCCATTTTTAAACCAAATGATTGATAGATTAATTTAGAAAATGATCTGTAGATTAAATGATAATTAAAATAATCATTACGCCTTCTCTAAAACTTTTCTCAATTTACCAGTCATTATGTAAACCCTTGGGCCACACAAGAAGAAAGACAACAATGTACCACCAGTTGTTTTAATTATCATGATGAAATCATAAAGAGGTCTTTATAATCATGATCTGTCATAATTATCATTTAATTATGAGAAATGTGACATCTCGTAACGAGTTGAACCTTCTCAGACATTCGCGGTTAACCTCCACAGCGTCGATGTTGTGCAATTACTGCTCAGCGCAACAAGTAAACACAGTTAACCGTTTACACAGTAGCTACTGCAGCAGGTCTGTGCGCTGCAGTGGATGTAGGTTTTCTAGGCAAAGGACTATTTAACAAATCCCACAAAAAGAACAATGTGTAACTTCAATAAACGTTTTTTTTTTAAAAGGCTTAGTTATTTCCTTAAACACCTGGCCACAGTAATTTTTGTATCAAAAGTTAATCAAAACATTTGTTTGGTTGATTTTCCCATATTAGGGCCCATAATATGCTCTTTTTCAGGTTCATATTGTGTGCCTCTACTGTGACATGTCTCCATGCTTTAATGTTCAAAAAGCTCTTTATTTTTCTCATACTGCCTGTGCTGCAGCACCTCTTTTCACCCTCTGTCTGAAACCAGAGCGCAGTCTGCTCTGATTGGTTATCTGGTCAGCTCTGTTGTGATTAGTCAACAGCTAAGAGATGTCCCGCTCCTTAGCCTATATGTACAATGTGTTGGTGCGCGAGCCAATAGATGCACTAGTGTTACATAGTGATGTCACAATGTTACTAAAGTAAACAAAGGAGTCCAATGGTGTCTCCCTTTCCCCTCCCAAACAAACATTTCACAACAAAATGGTCCCTCCTGATGGAGGCAGAAGTGAACAAAAAGTTGGATTTATTCATCTTGTATTATGCCTGACTTGATATTTGGTAATGAATAAAAAAAGTCTTGAAACAGACAAGGTAAGACTAGTTTATATACTTATGCTACTGAAACAGTTGTTGATGACTTGCTGCCCAAGCTGGCTGTTTAAAAGGAAGTTATAACACAATGAAAAATAACATGACACAGATTTGTTGTTCAAATATATAATCTTAGTTCAGTCATACAGATATATACATTGTATAATAAATAATATTTATAAAAACATAACATTTACGATTATAAAATAAAAAGGGAATTATTCACTTTAAAACATTTGTACAAAACTTTGGATATAGCGGGGGAAGGGTGGGGGGGGGTGTACTGAACATAGGAAGGTAGGCCCAGGTAGGCAGGGCTGTGTAGAACATGACACAAATGCTAAGCTATGTCGCAAAGAGTACAGCCTACACACTACTGGGTATGTTTGTTGAATATAATTAATAGGAAGCAGGTGGGACTGTCAGAACATGTTGTGTGGAAACTTCTCACAGTGTGAATCCTGCCATCCATCCGTCCAACCATCCGTATTTTTTCCATTCACCACTGTCACAGGCAGCTGTCATTCACACACACATCCACATCTTGCAGACATAAATCATCTTCTCATGAAGTTTCCCAATGCTCTTTTGCTTTAGGGAATGTTCACCCCAAAACCAAAAATACAATTTCTCCCTCTACATTGTTTTGGTGTTAGTACTGAAATGGAAGTATTGACCACCTTCTCTACAACTAGGTGGCATCTAAAAAAACTCAGCAATGATTTTTCTAAAGAACCACATAACCACACAAAATGACGTGTGCAACCAGTAGTAGTTCGGTAGAAATAGTCCCTCTGGAGCTTTGAGCACTGTACGAGTGCCATCTTGTTGAATTATATTTTAAAGAAGATAAACATCTCTGTGGCCAATATCTCCAACACTTACTACCGAACCAAAACAATCTATGTTGATTAAAAGTACCACTGGTACGAGTGTAAAATATGTATTTCTGATTTTGAGGTGAACTGTCGACCAAAAAATCACTCCTGGTCACCTCAAAAAGATAAAATAATAACTCAACTAGGCCGATGCCTCTCAATAAGCAGTGTTAGATTAAATAATAGTATTTTCGTACAATATCTCCATTTCCAAATCTTTGAGGCAGGTGTGTTTTTGGGGTCTTCTGACAATAGTAAAGAATACTCAGAGAAGGAAGGCCGGGTGTAAAAGCCAATCAGAACCCACTCTCGGCTCCACATGTCGTCACATGTCCCCCTTCTCCATTTTTACAGTGAAAGATTTGAGTCGTACAAAAGTCTCTAAGATGGACTTGGTGAATGCAAGAAGAGTTGAATTAATAAGATCTCCCAATAACACTTTGCTCAGAAGACCAGAATTAATAATAAAAAGCATGCTGAAACTGGAACCACACTTGATGCATACATTTATAAATGAAACAAATGATCTTCTACTTGGACATATCATTTGAACCCTGGTAGTTTTCATTCCATATAATAATGATGTATGACTGCGTTGCATCACATGTGTGGAAATTATGAGCAATTTACAGTATGGAGGAAGAAAGTCATAATTCACAACAACTTGTAACGACTGAGAATTTGCTCGCATAAACAATGCTCACATTTTTCCCACCTGGAGTAGCTGAATAGTGCATACATATAAATGTGTAGGGTTGTTAGTTGGTGGAATGAGCATGCTTGTTCACACACATGCTGCATACCTCCAGTCCCAGCCCAATGGTAATATTTCAGAAATGCAGGGCTATAAAATCCGACTGTAGCATATATCTTCCAGGTTGACTGGTGCAGCCGAGTCAGTCAGCGGGGAGAGAAGCAACACTGAGGATTTCATCAGCTCAGTAGTTTACAAAAGACAGGACGGGGGCACTTCCAGCACCTGTTCAGTTCAGTAGTTACAAAGTGATGCTTTCCTGGGGCTTTTCAGTTTCACTTACTGCGGAGTGACGGTGTAGAGGTTGGTTTAGTCTAAAAAACTAAAAGGTAAACCAGCCAGGATGGCCGGGGAAGTGAGGTGTTAGTTAGAAATTGCTTTGTTTCAAAAGCAAAGATAGTTTTTTACTGCATTATTCTCCCAGGTAATAAGTGTTACTGTACATGCCACGGACATTATGTAGGCATGGAGGGGGGAAATAAATAAAGACGAGGGGGAAGGTGGGGGCCGATGCTGCAGGGAAAGGAAGAAGTGACACAACTCCTTGACCTCAGATTAGAGATCAGCCGGGTCAACACAGGACGCTTTCTCCCTCAGAATTTATGGTAATGTAGTGGTTTGGATTCAAGGAAGGGTTTTTACAAAAAATAAAGGTATGGAAGTATCCATAGCTGATGTGCCATAACCCATTAGGGCCTGAGTGTGTGTGCTGATGAATATGTGTTTGCTTGAGATGCAGAGTCTGTGTTTGGGGATGCGGGGAAAGTCGTGCAGGAAGTGAAAGAGTTGAAGTGTGGATGGGCAGCACTCGTAGTCCAGTTTTTTCTGAAAGCACCGGCCTCTCACTTGCAGGTGTGAACGTCGTAGACGCGCACGCACTCCTGACAGCTGACGTAGCAGCACCAGTGGAAGATGCAGTGGCACTTCTCTTTGCGTTTCTCAGTCCGGGTGTTGTGTCCGCGGCCGCAGCACAGCAGGTCACAGCCCTCGATGCCGTGCGACGACACGTTGCAGGCCCGGTCGCGCGTCCCAAAGGAGCCGGTCTCCTGGTTGGGCTCGCAGAAGTTTGGTGAGCCCTCGTAGTAGACCAGGTCGCGCTCGGTGGGGTGCTTGAAGAAGTTGTACTTGACCCGCAGCGTCTCTACCCAGCCTCTGGACTCGCGGTGCTTCTCCACCACCATCTCCGAGGCGCTGTCGTACTTGTCCTTCAGGTAGTCGCCCAGCATGCGGAAGTCTGGCTGCGCCCACCAGCAGGTCTTCACCTCGCAGCTCCCCGACAGGCCGTGACACTTACAGCGCAGGTGCATGTGGTCCAGGATGGTCTGAGAAACACACAAGACACTTTTATTTTCACCTTGTAGGAATATTTAAAGCTTATATCTGCTCTCCTGGTTTAAACAAATTAGGCCTACAAATTCACCAAGATGACCTTTATGCTACCTTTGTTAGCTAGCAGGAGAATACAAGCATGGAAGACGCCTGTGAAAGAAAGTAAACAGTTGACGGACTGTGATGTGATAAAGCTTTTAAGTATAATAATGGTTAAACTGTACGTTTTAGTAT